TTGCTACAATTGATGAAAATTAGAAATACACCCATGAAAATAATTTAAAGAGAATGAATGAAACAACCTTACCTGAGCAAAATGAAGTAAAAACTCAACACCTACTTAAATTTAATTTACTATTATTAAAATTTTTAATATATAGATCGAAGGTGGCACGTCTGAAACACCACACACAAACCCTAGTACAAATTCATACTTCGACTCTCCCAGTTATTATCTGGTTATGATGGTGCCTTTGAATTAGGAATGTATTAGGGAATGCTGCAAAGGGTGTAGCAAGAGAATACAGTAGAATATTACATGGATGTAATATAAGAATCTACTGAAGTGTGGGTATGACTAAAAGAAGATTAGTCAAAGGAAGACTAAAAAGAAAATTAGTCAAAGTAATACAGTAGTAATAAAATGATTCCTTCTTCCATTCATAAAATAAGAAAAATGAAATTCCTTAAAATTAAGGTAGAAAACAAACAAAGGCTTAAAAAGAAGAAATAAGCAGAAGAAGTTTGAAAAAACCTTAATAGGAAAAATAAAGCAAAGAAGTGGTTTCCTCATTTTGCAAGACAAACCTAAATGATAGGTTCAACAAAGAGATTACTCTTTTTTAATAAGCTCAGGGATGGGATTAGTCTCCCCTGAGCTAGGAAGAATAGATGAAAATTCTATTAATACTTAATTAACTAATTTTTATTTTAAAATTTTTAATATATTGTTATTCTATCGTCATTAACTATTTATGGGAATTTATTTTTGGTAATTAAAAATTAATAATTAGAACTTAATATTATTTTTATTAAAAATTTAAAAAAGTTAATAAAAAAATTTTTGATAAATTTTTTGGAATGATGTTTATTTGTTAAGATTTAAAGGAAGAAAAATCATCTTATTAATCAATTAATTAAGTCTAATGCAAGAAGAGATATTTGTTGGTATTGACTTAGGAACAACATTTTGTTGTTGTCATTTCTTTAATACTCAGACAAACAAATATGAATGTATCAATTACTTAAATGGAAATTCAACAATTCCGTCAACTGTTGATTTTTTCACTCAACCTGTTAGTGTTGGAATTCCAAAGCCTACTGCCATTTGTGAAGTAAAAAGGTTTATTGGAAAGAAATTTGATGATGAACAAGTGCAAGAAGATATTAATAAAAACTATTTCCCATATCAAATAGTTAAAGCAGAAGATGGGTATTGTCTGGTTGTGGTTGACTATCCTGATAAAGAAGAAGAACGAGTCGAGCCAGAGGTTGTTTCGGCGATTGTTTTAAAAGCAATTAAAATTGAAATTCAACGAAGATTAAATATTAAAGACAATATAAGTTTAAGAGCTGTTGTTACAGTTCCAGCATACTTTGACGATTCACAAAAAGATCGAACCAAAAAAGCAGTATTAATGGCAGGGTTTAGTTTAATTCGATTGTTGGCAGAGCCATCAGCAGCTGCATATGCATATGGATTAGAAAGTACAAAAGATCAAATGTATCTTGCATTTGATCTTGGAGGAGGAACACTTGATGTTACTATATTAGAAAAGAAAGGAGAAGAATTTAAGTTTAGAGCGACTGGTGGTGATGTTCATTTAGGAGGATTAGATTTTGATATGAATTTCATGGAACTTGTTATAAGTAAAATGAAAGAAGTTGATGAGAAAAAAGCACGAAGATTTATTTTGAAAGGAAGTGACAGTCGTTCACAAAAGAAAATGAAGAAACAACGAAGGTATCGATTAAGAAAAGAGGTTGAAAAAGCAAAGATTGAATTATCAGCCAATTCATATTGTGAATTAGACTTATCCGAATTAGTTGATGAAGATGAATTTATTATTTCTATTGATAGAAGTGAGTTTGAAGAATGTAATAAAAAAGAAT